TATTATGACCAATCAGAGCCACTCCTGCTTAAAAACGAAACCTCAATTTTGAGCTGACTAAAAATTATATATAACCAAATTAAACAGACCCTACACAGTGTTTGATGTCAACACTGACATGCTAAGAGTGAGACGCTAATGATGACACAATAGGTGTGGTCACCACCAAGTCTCTATTCATTTCTAATTGCACTACCCTTTCTTCCTGCTTCCTTAGCCATAGCAACTGATAGAAGTTTCCGGTCTTTGTATATATGTAAAAAAAATTACACATTTATTTACCCCTACTCAATGTCCTCTTATGTTTGACGCTTGGATTTACGTTTGCCAAGGTGGATAAGAAATTAGTCTCCATAACATTAAAGACAACAACAAGAAAGGTTCTGCCTTTCAGGTTACCCATTTTTGCCTTCACAACTTTTGTAACCTAGAAAAGGTTACTGAATGAGAAATAACCAAAACGGAGGTTGGAAATGAAATGGTAATCTTTATAACATGAACAAAATAGAATACTCGCCAGTGGCATGAAGTAGGTAAACCACTGCTAGTGGTGGACTACTTAGAATGCATATTACCCCCACTTAGAATAGTGTCCAACATATTTTGAGGATTAGGACATACCCATTAGTGTCCATAGGTAGGGTATATAACAACAACAAAGCAAATAAAGAACAAACATGCTTTGTTCTCAGAGAGACTTTTATGCCATTAAGACTTACTCAAAATTATATATGCATACATTCCACACAGAGAAAATATAATATATATCTACATGAAAAACAGAGTGAAAGGAGAATGAAAATATAATATGGAGATTCTTCTGTGTTTCTGGTGAAGCCATGTTTAAGAATCCAAATTCAAACAATCCGGATTCATCTACCATATCCCAGGTGAGCACATATTCCACAAACAGGAAACAACAAGTCTTGGTTTTCCCAGATTGAGGACTGTGAATCAGAGTTTGTTTCTATGTCTGGGGAAGATATATTCCCAAAGACAAATGGCACCCTGGACTTGTAAGCTGCAACACATGACATTGACCCAGGTAGAAGTTGGATGAACAACTCCTGTGTCTTGGCTCCAATAAGCTTACTAAATTACTACCACTTTCCTTACTGTAAGAAGTGCCATCACTAAGTGAACCAAAAGGAGATAAGTGATTTTTGTTTGCCTACAGTAGAAATCATGAGTTCAGTCCCTGGACTGGGTACTATAAATTCAGACACAGTAGAAACAAAACTAGTAATAACTGAGCAGCAGTAGCATTCAGAAGTTGGATCAGAGGGTTGTGATGGCCCTGGGCATACATATCAGGAGAGCTTCCAATCAAAGAGTAAAATAAAAATTTAGCTTATATTTAATTTGAATAAAATGTTTATTTCATCTTTCATCTGGTTTTATATGTCTTCCTTTCTCACATTACTCTGTCAGTTCATTTATGTGCCATGCATGATACACACTTAGGCGATCATGTGTCTTTCGATACATGACTGACGAGGCAGATTTTTTTTCTGCAGTAGGTTGCCATAAACCCTATAGGTCTCTCCACTTGAGTCTTAGTGGTACACAATCAAGAAGTTTGCCTCAGGCATCACCAAACCTCTGCAGGTCACTGCTGGACAGTGTAACAAAGAGAGTCTACCCTGGGAGGTTAAATGAGGTTCAAAATTCTCTGAAGGTTACCTGAATCAGCAGACACCTGAAAGGAAGGTTAGAGGGAATAACAGCCAAAACACAAGAGTAACAACAAAGATAAAGACATTGGTCTGGGAGTCATTTTGTTAATATTCTGTGTGTGTGTGTGTGTGTGTGTGTGTGTGGCTCAGGGGGTGGGGGATCAGACCTGTACTTACCACTTCCAGCCAAGCACATGGCCATATTGCTAATCAGATAGAAATTGTGGCTGTATTTCCTTCCTTTTTTATGGAAGAGCGTACACTGATGGTGAACTAGAAGTCACTTGGGATTGAACAATAAATTGCCAAGAAGTGTCATATGGCATGTATGTTGGAATATGGAAAAAATTGTAGTTGACAGAAGATACACAAGTCGATACCCTGCCCAGGAATTGAATTCATAATTAATAGGCTAACCAGTGCATTAATCCTCGAAGCTATACCTAGACAAACAAATATCTGAAGAAAAGCCTGAAACATCATGATAATAAAAAGCCTGAAACATTGTGATAATAACAAAGATACTGATATTAACCTTTTAGTATTCATTGTCCCACTTTTTCATCTATGTGTCTATTCCTTCAGGACGTTGCTGATCATGCCTCTCCACAACTTCCTATCCTTTGCAGCTCTGAATATCATTTATCTTTTTTCTATCTCTTCTAATCCCTGTTCTGCCTAGCTTGTTCACTCAGCTATTCACTGCTTTCCACTTTTTGTTTTGCCTTAATTATGTTCAGTGAGTGTCAAATTTTCCAAGCCTTGTTTCCTCACTATGTGCCCTAGAAATGTCAACTATCCGATTTTGATTCTATGTATAAATGCCCTTTTTATTTCCCTTTCCCTTAAAATTCTATCATTACTCACATGTTCCTGTCCTGGGTATGACAATAAACTACATCTGCATCCTGGGTAAGATGATAAACTACATCCGACAGTAGGCCTCTGATCAGGAGGTTTTGAAAGTGTAAAAATAGGTTTTAATACCAGAAATACTTTGTAAAAAAAAATAAAAATAAAAGATATTACCAGCAATACATCTTTGGAAAAATAAATTACCAGCAATAAAAATTTTGTTGGTATTAAATAACCCATTGAGGTTGATATGCCATAAAACAAACCAAGCCAAACCATTACTCACATGTTCAGTCCACAGCATCCTTCTGTATAACCACATTTCCATTGCCTCAAGTCACTTCTAGTAGTGTGAGGAGACTGTCCAGCATTAACTGTCATATAGGAGATAAGATATTACATAACATTTCAACAAGCTTTTCCTTGTTTTTAAGGACAATTTTCAATTTCTTAATACTTTGCTTACTTTCTGGATGGTATCTTTTGCTGTTTTGATGCATCTTTACAATTCTGTGTAAGTTTTACCATTTTTCTGTTACAGCACTACCCATATAATTAAATTTCTATATCTGCTTAACTTAAGCATTTCCATTATGTGGTTTTCACCTTGGGAAGAGTTAGATAATGTAAAAAAACAATATCAAAATTGCAATAAAAAGCAACAAAAATGAAATGATGGCAAATTACATCAGGAGTTAATAGCAATAGAAACTTCTCATATCTCATTAGCTGTCAAAAGACAATTATTACTTATGCTGTCTTCATCAACATCTCCAACAAATTACCTTGAATCATTATCCTATTCCCTGTCAGATTAAAAAGACCCAGGATGTAGAAATTTCTCATATCTGATCAACTGCTAGGACAAAAAATTCTCTCAAGAGATCATGCTAACCTTTCTTGAATGTTTAAGTCTTATCTTTAGATGACTACAGAGATTTTTAAAAAAATTTACACTATTTACATTGTTCAGACTGTCCTTTTCTTTATTGTTATATTCACAATGTTTCGGCTGTTCTACGCAAATCATTTAAATGATTTATTATGAAGCGGTAGCAAAGTACAGATAAACAAGTTTAAAAAACACCTATCTATATTTCTGAGATGAGATATTTTCAGAGTGTTGTCCTTAATTTTACCTGTCATATTCATGACGTTTCGGCTGATGTATGCTCTGGCCTTCTTCAAATGATATACATTGGAATTTCAAACTGAACCTTTTATTTTGTTAGCTGTAGTAGGTTGTTCTAGTTCCACGTGCCATGCCTTTTCTGGATATTTCAGTTTCTGTTATTTTCCTTTAGTAACTCAACATACCAAGTTTTTGTTTATCTCTGCTGTGGTCAGATATTGAACTCAGAACTCTTTAGGTCAACCAACACTTTTATCCACTAGGCCCAATGGGTAAGTGTTTTGTTTCAAGTAATCCAGTGATTGGCACAAAGAATTGTGATTGAGTTCAATACCTGGCCACAGCAAAGTTGAACAAAAACTCAGAGAGTTGAGTTACTAAAGGGAAATAAATGAAACTGAGATATCCAGAAAGGGTATGGCATGTGGAACTAGAAAAATCTATCCCTGTGGACTAACTAAAAGGCTCAGTTTGAAATTCTAATGTATATCATCTGAAGAAGGCTGGAGTGTACAAAAACTGAAACATTATGACTATGACAATAAAGATGAAGACAACAGTCCAAATAATCTAACTAGTGTAAATAGTAACAATACCTCATTTCAGAAATATAGATAGGTATTTTTTAAACTTGTTTTTGTATATTTGTGTATTTTGCTACTGTTACATAACAAATTATTTAAATTATCTTTGATATTTTTTCCTCACAATATCAAAGTGTATTTTAACATTAGAATCAAAATGTTATTATTTGTACCAGAAACAAATAAAGCCAAATAGAAAAAAAAATGGACAGTTTGTGGTGCAGATTAGAGCTGAGTGAATAACCAAGAAATTTTAGTATGCATTGCATTTTATATCAGAAACCAATAACATTACAGAATCACATTGGCAACTCGAAAATTAAGATTTCAGCATTATCAAGGTTGTTAACATTTGTAGCTTTACCTTTGCTATGTTCGAAAATTAAATATTCAGTTTCACTGCAAAAAAAAACTTTTGAGCATCCCATGAAAAAGAAATTTCCATTTCAAATTCAAAACCAGAGAACTTGTATTCTGATCTTTGATATAATCAGCTTTACTGAAAGTTGGCATAAAACGCATATATTGAGAATGCGTAAATATTGAGAAGGTAAAACCAACACAAATGAGTAAATGTGGCAATTTGTTTTCATGCTCTCCTTTGAGGTATTGAATAGCTTAGTCTGGCACAAGGTAGGAAATATGAGAGACCTAATTATGTTTCAACTGATTACTATAGTAGCATCTGTGAGACTAGTTTCATAATTCTTGCTCCTTAGACATTTCATTAATGATATTTACTAAACTTTAAGACAGTTCCCATACAATCATTGAAGTTAAGCAACATTGAGCCTGGTTAGTACATAGATGGGGGACTACTTGGGAATACCAAGTGCTGTGAGTTTGGATGTGCAGGTGGTGTCATGTATAATTGCTCAGAATGTTTAAGAGAGCCAAGTTTTAATTCCTGTTGTATTCACTTATGTGTAAATATCTTTGGGAAAGATATGAATTTACTTCTTATCCCCCTGTTATGGGTTAATTAGTAAGACTTATATCACTAACCCATTATTATCTGAAAAAAATTCTTACAATCTAAAAAGATTTTCTGGTTTTAAATAACCTGCAAAGGGTTGATAAGACAAACTTCATGAATTTAAGCATTCTACTCACACCCTTTTACTGTCAAAACTGTTAAATGTAGCTGTATCTTCATGTCTCACACCTCTCACCTGTGGAACTCCCTCCCCTCTTCCTGTTTCCCTGAAAGCTATAATCTCCAACAATTCAAATGTAATGTCAATTGACGTCTCCAGATGCCCTAATCTATCCCCTATCCTTCTCTTCATCCTTTCCTCTCTCACTCCAACTCTCAGTAATCCCTTGCGTGCTAGGGGCTTTCCACCTTTCTTGGGGTAAAACGCTTGAAAAAAAAAAAGGTAAATATTATTCATTTATACTTGAGTCTTTAGGTAATTTTAGGTGCCTAAAAGACGAAGGAACTACATCTGGCAGCAAGGTCTCTGATTGGGAGAGTGAATGTTTTGAGGAGAGTGGACCTTCCTATTAATTGCTGTTGTTTCCAGGTCTGCCATAACCTGGGGTGGTAGTACCTGTTAGGGTCCTAGCTAAGAGCAAATAGTGAAATCCCATACAAACACAAAACATTATGAAAGCATAAATATACAATTTTATAGTAAAAATATCAGCAATACATTTTTATATAAAAAAATTATCAACAATATGTATTTATAGCAAAATAACCAACAATACATTTTATCTGTTGTTAAAGGCATACAATTGCGTTCAAAATTTATTTCATTTAAGCCATAAAATTGCATTCAAAATATTTAAATTTCAGCATTGAATAACCCATAGAGATTGACATACCACTAAACAAAATTAACCAATCAATACATTGGGGGGTGGGGGGAATGGTGCTTATTTTTGTTGTAACGTTGTCTTTGTCCAAAAAAGCCAAGAATTAGGAAGGCCATAGTAGAGAGGGTATCAAAGGAATAGAAGTCTGTGGAAGGAAAAGAAAGAAGATGTTTTATTAAATACTCATACATAGAACAGAAAAACTTAAGTAAATCAACTACTCCTCAAATCCTATTCTAATGTGGCTACTTGCCATATGTATAAGTAGGAACAGTCCATTGTTAAAATAGAAGGTAATAGCAGGAAGTACACAGAGTTCTACTCGACAATAATTTTTTTATTTGAGGATTCCCCCACTACTCCTGTTATATTAAGACCAGCTGTTTATTAATTTTGCACTTTTTGACCTTTTCAATGATGTCCCCCTGGTCACCTTCTGTTAAGACTTCCTCATGTTGCAACCGGAAACTAAGGAAATGGAAGCACTATTTCAGCTATTGTTCAGACATGGAAATCCATGTCAGCTATATTGTTATGTGTGAATAAAAGACAGGACTATCGCATCTGCTGACAGAAGTTACCAGACTAAAACTGCTTTGCCATTATTATTACAGACCTTCTTACCAAGGTGTGACACCCCATTTTTTACATATTGATTTCTTACCTCAAATATTTAGATACCTGCTGCTTTGTAATTGACACCTCATACCTGTAAAAATAAAAAGAAACTGTAAGAAAAATTAACGGAGAACAAGGGATATTGAATGAAAGGATTGAAGTCGGATATATAGTCACCCAAAATGAAGTCAGAACTATTTTCTCTCATTTCTTTTCAATATTTTCAGGCATACTATTTACATTATTCGGACTATTGTTCTCATCTTTGTCGCCATATTTATTACAACGTTTTGGCTGTTGTACTCTCTGGCCTCCTTCAGGTGATTGGAATGTCGAACTAAACCCTTTATTTCGCTCACTGGGGTAGACTGTTCTAGTTCCACATGTCATGTTTTAATGGATGTCAGTTGTCAGTTATCTCTTGTTAATTCCCCACTGCCTTAACTGGCTATTGAACTCAAACTCTTTGGGTCCTGTCACTGGATCTAACTAACGCCTTTATCCATACATAGTACCTCATCTCAGAAATATAGACAGATTTTCAGACTTGGACTAAAAAATATCTTTGCACACATTGATTAATATAAAGATCAGTGTCATAAATATTATCATCCATACATACACACACAAATATCAAATAGAGTATTGGAAAATATCCGTTTTTTTTCCCCTTCAAAATGTTAAAATTATATCCGCCAACTCTTTAAAGGCAATTTTCATTTAACTTGTTATTTCCCAGGGAAACTCATTCAGTCAATAAATAAACTTGACAATCATCTTTTCTTCTCAAAATGAAAAGAATTATAAAAGCATATGAAAACAAAGTTCTCTTTCCAAAACAAAAATGAATTCAATCTTCTCAAATCATTACTTCGTGTTGTAAATTCACTCCTCTCACACTTCAACCAGAAATGAATCAGTTTTCTTTAATTTTTCATTTAAATAATTAAAAAAAAAATGACTTATCTTCGCAGTTGTGGCAATTTGAATCTAGAGGGATAATGTCGGGCTCACCAAGAATAACGAATAACTTGAAACAAAGAATAAAAAAGAAATTGTATTGTAATTGTTATTATTTCCTGCTTTCTCTAAATCATTCTTTCATTGTCAGCTCTTTTGTGTCAATTTCTTTGGGTATTTCAAATCCTCCCCCAGACCTTCTGATAAAATATTCTATGTTCTAGCTGATTGCTTTCAATTTCCAAATTGAATGACCATGTGAGACAAATTTCTAAACCCCAAGAACAGAATATTTTAGATTGCAACTTGAAAGAAGTTAAAAACTAATCAATAAGAATGAAGTCAACTGAGAGAATACAAAAGAAGTGAAAATCTAAATGTCTACAGAGACAGAAAAAGAAAATGGAATGAAATATTCATGTCATCATTCAGATCGTCGATGGTGTTCAGGAGTTGTAATGAGTAGGAGAGGAAACAAGACACCTTATGTGTAAATCAAATGAATTTACTGTCACACCTAAAAAATAAAAAGTGAATTGTAAATAATTGACAGTGAGCCAGGAGTTTTTACCCGAACTGAACTTGTCTCAATGGATTGAGTATTTAAATTGACAATAAACATTTAACTTTACAAAGAATCGATCTTGCTCATTTGTACAGTTGCTCTATATATTTATTGGTTTTAAGAGCAAAGTATTTCCTACAAAGACTAAGTATTTAGTAGAAAGGTCTTTTGAACAGGATTTGAATTTAATCCTGCAGTGAGAGATAAAAAGTTATCTCCCTTTGACCAAACAAAAATAATGATGAAAATAATTATAAATATTCACGAAAATTTTAAAAAAGTCATGTGATCCACATGAGACATTGTTAGGTGAGAAAGTGAAGTTCTAGAAACAGGTCACAAAATTTCTAGGGATCCTCTCAAAGTAGAGGATATTTAGTATAAAAAATGTGAATGAGACAGAAAAATGAGCTATGTAAAAAAACAAAACAAAGAGGTTGAGCAATTATAATTTTTTTTTTATTAATAAATTCAATATTTTAAACAACTTGCTTTTAAAAATTGTCCTGAAAAACTATCAGGTGTAGTTCAGGTTTAAAATAAATAAACTCTTATTATAAAAATGAAAAGAAATATTAACATCTACTGTGTAGCAAATCCAAATTAACATACCTTGTAGAATGTACACAAGGCTAACCCAAATGAGCATTTTGAGATGACAAGTATATGTGTATGAATGATGCTATATTAGTGCAAAGACAATGATAATTGTAATGGAATGTAATAGTAATATTAGCCATTTCCCTAAAAGGAAAAATTTGACATTCAAGCTGTCATGTAGTTTAGAAAATCTTTCTCTTAAAACAGTTTATCAGGAAAATAGATTTTTCAGTCCCAGTTTTTGTCATTGCTCTTTCCATTATTGATAGGAGTTTCCTTCCTAACCTTTTACTTGAAGTAGTGTGGAATGTCAACATCTTGATTATGTCATTATTTTCTCTTCTCAAGTCCAGTAGATTTTATCACTCTTTCCAGTATTGATGGGAGTTTCCTTCTCAACCTTTTATTTGAAGTCGTGTGGAATGTCAGCATCTTGATTATGTCATTATTTTCTCTTCTCAAGTCCAGTAGCTTTTATCACTCTTTCCAGTATTGATGGGGGTTTCCTTCCTAACCTTTTATTTGAAGTAGTGTGGAATGTCAACATCTTGATTATGTCATTATTTTCTCTTCTCAAGTCCAGTAGCTTTTATCACTCTTTCCAGTATTGATGGGGGTTTCCTTCCTAACCTTTTATTTGAAGTAGTGTGGAAAGTCAACATCTTGATTATGTCATTATTTTCTCTTCTCAAGTCCAGTAGCTTTTATCACTCTTTCCAGTATTGATGGGAGTTTCCTTCCTAACCTTTTATTTGAAGTAGTGTGGAATGTCAACATTTTGATTATGTCATTATTTTCTCTTTGAGTTACATGTGCTATCCATTTTAGTTGTTGCTGGTGTTGGTAGTCCTCAAGTGATGTAGTTTCTGTTATTTAGTACAGTTTTTTTTATTTATGATTCTGTATCACCAGTCCAGAATGTTCAAAGAAAGATGATCTTTGCCAAGATCCTCGGCCTTCACTTGGTCAATTTTCTGTTTCTTTTTAACGGCTGAAGTCATTGTTTTTCAAAATGAATGCATTCAGCAGGTGGAAGATATTTATACATGTCCTTTTATATAAAGAACATGGTTCACAGAATAAGATTAATTATATATACCTATATACAGATAGTTAAGGATAAAAAAAAGATTTTGTGAGTTCACCACATAGTTGGGTTGAAATTAAGTGTTCAGCTGCTTGTGGAGTGTCTCTCCATACGAAGACTGAACAGTGTCTTGTTCCTACTGCCTCTAATGGGAAAGAGAGAGAGAAAGAGAGAGAGAGAGAGAGAGAG